ATTCTGGAGCCAGTAGCTGAGGTAAGTTGATCTTTGTCAACAGCCCTGAACATTCTGGGGGTAGAACTGGAAGATCAGCTGCCTGACGTCTGGGGATGCAGCAGTTGCTGAATGCTAAGGGTGATGCTAAATGCATGCAGGAAATTGTGTGGGTCTTGGGATCATGCTAGTAGCACAGCGCGAGAAAAGAGTTGACAGATTAGGATGACAAAGAGGTGACACGGAATGGGAATTCACCACAGTGGCAAAGGTTGGGTTCACAGAGTAGAAGTAGGAGAACTGGCTGGTGGGGGTATTTACAGCAGGAAAGTTCCTGTCTGAGAGGGCCGTGTGTGGGTAGGTGGCTGGCATCAGGTGGATGGGGAGAGGTCGGAAGTTCAGCAAGTTCATGTATTTTGAGATTAGGATGCTTTGGAGGATCATTTACAGGGATGCTGAGGTTGCTCAGGGGGATGGCAAAAGAGAGACACAAATGGGTCTTTTTTCTACTGCAGAGTGATTTGCTGGAAATACTCTTAAGCCTGAGTCCTACCAACTTGATGTTGGTCCTGATTCTACCATAGACCAGGCCTGTAACTTCCGATAAAGGCCTTTTTCTCCTTTCCTAAAAGAAAATATTTTATTTTAGAACAGTTTTAAGTTTTCAGCAAAAACTATAAAGTAGTACAGAGTTACCATATACCCTGCATCAAATTTCCCATATTATCAACATCTTAAATTAATATGGTGCATTTCTCACAATTAATGAACTGATCTTGATACATTATTATTAACTAAGTCCGTACTTTATTTAGATTTCTTTAGATTGTACCTTATGTCATGTATATTTCTGTTCTAGGATTCTAAGCAGGACAGCACATTACATTCAGTCATCCTGTCTCCTTAGACTCCTCTTGTCTGTGACAATTCCTCTGACTTCCCTTGTTTTTAAACACCCTGACATTTTTGAGGACTACTGGTGAAGTATTTTGCAAAATATCCCTTTATTGGGATTTGTCTGATGGCTTTTTTTTTTTCATGATTACAATGGGGATCTGGGTTTTTGTAAGGAAGACCACAGAGCCATTCTTATCCCATCGTGTCTCAGTCCATGCTGTCAATATGTCTTTCGTCTGTCAGGGTTGACCCTGATCACCGTGCTAAGGTAGTGTTTGTCAGGTTGCTACTCTGTGAAGCTTTTCATTTCCCCCTTTCCATCCTGGACTCTTGAGAAGGACTTCATTGTGGGCAGCTCACTCTTAGGGAACAGCAGTTCAGCTCCAGTGGAGGCACAGTGTCTGCATAAATTGTTTAGAATTTTTCTGTGCAGGAAGATTTGCCTATTATCTCCCATTTATTTATTTATTAAATCATGTATTTATATCAGCACGCACTCATGGATATCTATTTTGTATTTTGTATTACAATCCACTGACACTTTATTCATTGTTTTGCTCAAATTGTTCCAGCCTTGGCCGTTGGGAGCTCCTTCAGTTGGTTCCTGTGTCCCTTGGACATCCCTCCATCACTGTTAATTATTGTCTGGCTGGTTTTGTGTTTGAGCACTTACTTACTTCCTGCCACTACATTATGCCACAGCTTCTTTTTGTATATTTCCCACCCCAGTCCCTTCTCCAAGGACCCCTGGTTCCTTTTATTAGTGAATGGTGTTAGAATGCAAGATCTGTGTGCTACATGGATTTCTTGCTTCTGAGGGTAAAAATGGTCACCATGCTGGGTATAGGCTTCCTTGTACGAACTGAGTGTGTCTTCTCTCTGGCTGCATGGAGCCTCTCAGCTGCTCCTTGGGCTCAGCCTTGCTGGCCCTGGTTCTCTTTACTAAAGCTTCATTGTCATTGCCTTTGCTCCTTAACTGTCTTTGCCTTGCTAATTCCTGCTCATTCCTCAGATATTCCTTTTCAGGGAAGCCTTCCAGAACACCCACATCAACCCAAATTATACTAAGGTTCTCCAAAATATACTTTCATAATCCCTTGTGTTTTTCCTCAGTGTTGCTTATCACATTTTGTAGCTACATATTAATTTTTGTAACTGTTTTATTAGTGTCTGCCTAAACCAGTAAGCTGTAGGGGACTGTGTCTGTACCCTCAACATTAAAGCTCCAGCATCACGCACATTGCATAGTACATAGTAAGTATAGCCTCAGTAGTTGAAAATAAATGAAATACCTGAAGAGCTAGTTTGTGGGGGAGAGCTAGAGAAAATCTTTCCTTTCTCTTTAGGACAGAACAATAGAATTTATAAGATAAGTTTAAAGGAGGGTAGCTATTGATTCAAAACAAATAAATTTCTTCTTACTATCCAATTTGGAAATAGTCCAGATCATGGAGTAGTGAGCACCTTATTACCAAAAATGTTTAAATAGAAAATAGAAAACCATGTGTCATTAGTGTCTGTACAGGAACTTGTCACATTGATGTAAATGTTGGATTGGGACATCATCACATACCCTTTCAACAGTGTAATATGGTTGAAAGCAACAGACCAAGGAGCCAAATGGACCTAGTTGTATCTTTCTACTGTTTCTTGCTCTGTGACCTTGGACAAATGCTTGGACCTTTGCTGAGCCTCAAATTTCTCATTTGGAAATTGGGGATAATAACTTTACTCATAGTTGGGACAATGAGGGTTGACTTACATGGTATGTGTGCAATGTGTAGCACAATGCACACAGGCAAGCTTTCAATGAAGAGAAGTTATTATTATGAAGCATATAGACCCTAGTAAATAGTACAGGATTTGGAGACAGACAATTGTGAGTTTAAATTTCTACTGCTTTTTATCAGCTATACCATTTTGGCCAAGTTACCTGTGCCCTCTGAGCCTCAGTTTCCTTAGCTATAAAGATAGTATTTATTATTTTGAAATGTTGTTTACAGGAAGATGTATAGAAACAGGTATAGAGAACCTGGCCCTAATATGCACTCAAAGGATGCTTGCAGGGCCAGACGACTTAGATATTCTAGGGCATGCCCAAGGAATACAGAAGTTTGTTGGTGATTTCTGCTTTGCTTAATGGGGCAGCAAACTGAGGGTAAAAAGTGAATGGCAGTAGAGGGGATGCATTCTAGAGGCTGAAGAAGGGGTAGAGAAGAGCGGAGTCAGGGAGATGAGTATTTGGTGCAACTTTATTTTTTGATTATCAAGAAATAGCCCATAGCATCTATATTATTGACCAATATTTTGGAATTTGGAATTTTTGTTGAAAGAGGGGCAGAGTGGTGAGTCTGGCCTCAAGGTGGACTCAAAGCGAGCAGAGATTGCCCACCAGGATTGCACTAGATTCTCTCCTTCCCCTTCTAATTCTTGGGTTCTGAGTTTCTAATCCCTGTTCTGACACACTTATTACTATGAGAATGAGATGAAATAAAGATATGTGGAAAAATGATTACAATATACATATAAATCATTAAAATCTAAGTGATTAAAAATATATAAATAAAGAATTCTCAGTACTGACTAGAAGAACCAGAAAATTCAGAATCGTATAATACTGATAGATCACATTAAAACATTATGAAATTTTCAAACTCCCTCATTTGAACTGCATCTGCTTCTAATCAGTTTTTCCAACCATCCTCCTAACATTAGATCCTTATGAGGTTAAAGCAGTGCCATTCACTCAGTCGATCAACAAATATCGAGTGCCTGCTGTATGGCAAGAACCAGTCTAGTGGCCAGGGAGATGCTGAGAAGCAGGACATGCAGAGTGTCGATGGGGTTTCCATTCTAGTGTTTGCCGATGGTGGTGGTGGTGAGTGGGGGCAGCCAGGCAACAACCAAAGAGACAAATGGACAAGAAAATACAGATGCCTAATCATAGCTATGGCTCATACATTAACACATTCCTTAACACACATGTCTAGTACCCACAAGGATGGGTACTCAGTAATTATCTGTGAACTAAAATGTATACATTAATATCTGGAAACTCATTTCCTCCTAGATTAACATTTTTTCTTTTTCTAACTGATAACTCATTTGAGCTAAAGTGCTTTTTCACAAATGTGCATCTTAACAATAGTTTTTTGGATAAGGCTGTAACAGGAGACACTGAAATGGATGGAGCAAAGCTAATGAAAAGCGGTTTGGGGATCAGAAGCTATGGGTCACTTTTTAGCTTACACATATAGCATCTCCTCTTTTTGGGCTCAGAGTCCATTTTTCAAGCAGATGAGGTAATACAGTATTAGTAATAAGTGAAGGAAAGTATAAGCTTCTTTTATGATAGCTAATCTGAATTGTTTGAACATCATTCATGTCATTATTTGATCTCTTTAACACAAGTTTGCTGAAGATTCAATTCAACTATCTAGACAACTTAAATGACTTATTTGCTTAAATGGTTGCTAAGTGAGATTGTAAAAATAAAACCTTAAGGACCTCTTGAGAGGATCAGATATTTTATAAAGAACTAAGATTTTTCATAAAGGATGTAATTCTTTACAAAATCTCCATGGATTCAAATAATTAACTGTTTTCTAAGACTGTAATTCAATATAATACTATGCAGTGGTCAGGAGTGGACAGGAAAAACAAATGGTTTAAGAAAGATGCATCTCTTTTCTTCTATTTTTGCACCATAATATGACTGCTCAATTTTTATAAAAGCTATAATTGGCTATAAAGGATAACATGTAATAAAATTTAATCTAGTACTTACTTAATTGACAGTTTAATGATAGAGCATAAGGATAATTGGAAAATAATTATAATTTTTAGAAAGATAACATCATTTGTTTATATTGATTATTTTTACAGCACTATATATTTCAGTACACTCTGGGTTCTGAGGGAAGAGGGAATAGAGAGTGTATGGCACATGGAACTGGGAGTCAGGTGATACCACTCTTCCAGTCACAAGCTATGTTGCCTTTGGCAAATGCAAAAGTTACTTAACTTTTCTGACTCTCCTTTCTAAAGTTGTAAAATATGAGGATTGGAAAAAATGATACTTTCCTTCCAATTCTAAAACTGGATGATTTTTTTGATGCTTGATTTTAATGTTTTAATTGGGTAACTAAGCAAGAACCATTTCTTTAATATCCAAGTAAGAATTTCTGATAAATTAACCATAATAATTTATCAATTTCTGATAAATTAACCACAAGATTTAAATCAACTGTACTTAAAATATTCTGGCTTAATTTAAGCTTTTTCCTCCTCAATGATATGCATGCAATTTGTCTTCTGGCTATTAAATACCAATTTAAGTTAGAGAGTTCTCATTTTTTAAATACCTATGAGTTAATTATGATTTTCTTAATAAAGTATTGGAAAGTAAAGTAATGAGTCAGAAATATAAAAACAGGTCTAAATTATCCATATAAATTCTCTAGCTTAGCATTTTTCCAAAATTATGCAGGATGAGATTTTTGCTGCTGGCCATGAAGGAGAAACTGATATGGGACTTACCATTCTACTGTGACAATTAAAACATTGGGCAAAATCCATGAAAAAATTGTGCTCAAACATTGAGCAAGAAGGCTGTGAGCTTTTAGAGAAGGGGGCCATATTGGGTGTGTCCTGTGATTGCTTCAGTGTTCCTCCTGGAGGCAATTTATGGGCCATGGAATAGGGAGGGAGACAGGCAAAGCACGGTGTCTTGCTAAGTTGTGAGATGAAAAGTTTAGTGGATGGACTTAATGGAAAATTATATTCTACAGAAGAAAATATTGCTGAACTGGAAATCAGAGCAATAGAAAACATCACAAATGAAGCACAGAGAGAAAACAGATTGAAAAAAATTTTAAGAGCACCTTAGTAGCCTGATTGAAAATATCAAAGGGTTTAACTTTGCCAATGTGTATTTGAAATCCAGGGAGGAGAGGAGCAGAAAAAATTTAAAACAAATAGCTGAAAAATTTCCATATTTCAAGAAAATGTTAAGACATAAATCCAAGAATTTCAACGACCACCCCCATACCCCAAGCAGAATATACTGCAGAAAACCAAAGACAAATTATACAAAGGAGAAAAAAAAGATAAGAATGTCTTCAGAATTTCTATCTAAAACAAAGGAAGCCAGAAAACAATAGAAAGACATTTTTAAAGCAATTAAAGAAGAAAAATTTCAACCTACAAATCTATGTCCAGACTTACTATATTCAAAAATGAAGGCAAAACAAAAACTTCAGACAACCAAAGTGGAAAGAATCTATTGTTGGCAGGCCTCATCTATGAAAATATTAAAGGAAGTTCTTCAGACGGATGGAAGATAATGCCAGATGGAAACATAAATCTATAGAAAATAATGAAAATCAACAGAAATATAAATATTAGGAATTCTTTTTATTTTCTAGAAAAGATAATTCACTATTTACTGCAAAATATGAACAATATATGAGAAGGTTTATAAATGGGAATTTAATATGTGACAATAATAACACAAAGAAAAGGGGGAAGGGGTGATGAACATTTTAACATTATATGTAATACGGTATAATATTTGATAGGTTAAGAGTGTAAATGCAATGTTCATGAAAAAAAAGATGTATAGCTAATAAGTCAATAACAGAGAAATAATGAAGTGATAAACATGTTCCCTTAATTGGGATGAAGACAGAAAAGAGAAAAGGAATAAACACAAGGAATAAATGGAAAACAAATAACAGGATTATAGATAGAAATAAACCATATTGATAATTATGTTACCTGTATATTATCTAAGTGTAACACTTAGAAGCAGAGATTAAATGACTGGATGAAAAAAACCATACTATCCACACCACCACCCCATTAAACATGAATTCACACATGAGTTAAAAGTGAATGAAAGCAAACATGAATCAAAATAAAATAGGAATAGCTGTATTAGTATCAGACCAAGTATTCTCCAAAATAGAGAATATTATTTGTGTTAATGAGGGAATTTCCTAAGGATTATAAGGTTCAATCATAATGAAGACCTATAAATTTCAGTGCACACTATAACAGAGCTTCAAAATACATGATGCAAAAACAGACAGAGCTGAAAGGTGAAATAAATTAAAGCTTACCTATTTAAAGATTTCAAAGTCCTCTCTCAGTAACTGATAGCTAGCTAAAATGTAGAGATAACATCAGAAAGAATTATGGACTTAAACTATCAGCCAACTTGACATTTATAGAATACTCCATCCAGCGTGAACAGAATACATATTCTGGGCAATTGTATAAGGAATAATCACCCAAATAGATTATATGCTGGTCTATAAAACAAGTTTCAGTTAATTTAAAAGGTTTGAAATCTTACAGAGTCTGCTTTATCACGGAAACAATTCAATTAGAAATCAATAGAACAATGCATGACAAAACTCTTAATGAAACAACACACAACTCTAAAATATAAAAAGACTGTTGGTGAAGATGTGGAGCCAGTAGAACACTCATGCATGTAAAATGTAAAGGAGTATAAAATGGTTCAACCTACTTTGGAAACAATATGCTAGTCTCTTTTAAAGTTAAACATACCTATATATGAATCAGTAATTATACTCCCAGGTATTTATTCAGGGAAATTGAAAGAATATATCTACACAAAATCATATACACAAATATGTAACTATTAATAATAATCCCAAATTGGTAACAGCACAAATATTTACTTAATGGCGAATGGATAAATAAATTCTAGTTTATCTATATGATGGAATACTATTCAGCAATAAAGGAAGGAATGAACTACTGATACATATAAAATCATGAATGAATCTTGAAAATATTATGCTCAGTAAAAGATACCAGAAACAAAAAAGTATATACTATATTGTTTCATTTACGTGAAATAAATTACACAAAAGAGAAATTTGATCATAGGCCTGGGGTTATAGGTCTTTAGGGACTGGGAGTAAAGGGGCACAAGACAATTTTTGGGGTGATGGAAATATTCTCTGTCTTTAATGTGGTGGAGCTTACACATGAGTGTATGTATTTGTCAGAACTAATAAAACCTTTATATTTCATATAGCTGCCTTTATTGTATTAGGGAGGTTTATTCCTTAATACATTTGATTAAGAAAAGGGCTAGATTTGAAAAACTTCTATAGGTCGTTTCCAAGTGTGACCTGAGAAGAATAATTTTGTGATCAAATATATTAAAGAATTTCAATAAAATCTTAATGAATTCAAACAATTTTAAATAAGAATTCTTAGAGTCTTTAGCAGGCTATTTTTAATTTGAAATCTCAGAGACATTCTCATGTTTTTAGCCATTCCCTTACTTTTATGTGGAGCATCTTTCTGGAGTAGTTCTTTTTTTATGTTTGAAAAATACTCCCCTATTTCAACTAGGTATTCTGCTAAATGTGAAGTGATTTTTTTCTCTTTATTCCTCAGTTTCATGACAGTGACAACGAGAGCTTTTTTATTTCATTCTGGTCAAGAATTGAAAGGGATTATAAGGAAGAGATGTTATAGGTGAATGGATGAATAAAATGTGGCCCATTCAGACAATGGAACATTATTCTCTGCTAAAAAGAGGTGAGCTATCAAGCCTTGGAAAGATATGGAAGAACCTTAAATACATATTGCTAAGTGAAAGAAACCAGACTGAAAGGGAACATACTGCATAATTCCAACTAGATGACACTGGAAATGTCAAAACTATGGAGACAGTAAAAACATCAGCAGTTGCGAGTGGCTGCGGAGGGGAATGGATGAATAGGTGGAGCACAGAGGATTTTTAGGGCAGTGAAAATACTCTGTATGATACTATAATAATGGATACATGTCATTATGCATTTGTCCAAACACACAGAATGTACATCAAGAGTG